CCCCAGCCCAGCCCCGCCACCTACCCTGCTCCCTCTGCTCTCCACAGCTGCCCCGCACCCCCAGGAGACCCTGGCTCAGCCTCTTCCTTCCGCCCACACCCTGAAGCCAGAAGGTGGGTACCCACGGGAGGGGGAGCGGTGTGAGGGCGCCCTAAGGTGGGAGCGCCAGTGCGGGGCCTCTTCCCCACCGGCCCAGCCCCACCTAACCCCCTGCCTGTTCTCTCTTGGGGTTCCTGTGATCTTTCTTGCACTCCTGCAAAGCCCCATGAAACATGGAGCTGTCTGGAGAAGATTCCAGAAGGGTGTGTGGAGGAGCTGTGAGGATGTGCACAGGGCCATCACCGGCAGGCTCCCCTCAGCCAGAAGTGTCTTGTCGGGGACACTTTTGGGGGAGGCCCCGTGTTGAAGATGGGCCCAGGGGTGTGTGGGTCTGAACATCTGTACCCACAGGCGAGAGGATGGACAGCTACGAGGCCAACGCCCAGCTCTGCTGGGCCGCGTATAAGGAGTTCATGGGCTTTCTGGAAAAGGACTGGTGCAACTGGACGGTGGTCAGCAGGTAGGACGGGGGGCGGGGCCGGCGGGGCCCTCCTGGCACTCACCCGTCCCCCGCCCCTCCACCAGGCCTTACAGTTCCCTGCGCGACTGCCTGGAGATAGAGGCGGAAGCCTTCAGCCTGGGCTTCCCCAACCCGCTGGCCGAGAGGATCATCTTTGAGACTCACCACCTGCACTTCGCCAACTGCTCCCGGGTGCAGCCCACCTTCTCCGACCCCCCCGAGGACGTGCTGCTGGCCATGATCGTGGCCCCGATCTGCCTCATCCCCTTCCTTGTCACTCTCGTGGTGTGGAGGAGTAAGGACGGCGAGGCGAAGGCCTAGGGTGGACGCCCCCGGGTCCGCCTCCTCCTCTCTCCCACCCTCAGCCTCCCTGTCACTGCACAGCCTGTTCTGGGGCCCGGGCGCAAGTTGTGTAACCTCTAAAATAAAGTTTTTTGTGTGTGTTTGTCCACTGTCACCTTCCTGGTGGAGCAGCCGTGTCCTCCTGGGAGTTGGTGCCAGGCACACAGGAGGTGGGTTCTGGCTTCACCTGCCCCTCATCCCACCCACACCAAGGCTGTGGCCTTCTGCCCCTTCCTCCCCGGAGCGCCTTTCCTGTCCCCATCCCGCCGGCTCTGGGAAGCTTGCAGGAAGAGACTCCCTTCCGGTCCCAACAGGCTGGGGCCTGGATGGGGCGGCTGGGGG